ATTTTGACAGAACCTCCTCTGTAAATAGAATCTTCCAAAAATTCTGTATCACAAAAATTTTCCTTAAACATTATATCAATCAGGAGCTCGGCTCCTTCCAGCTAGTAGACAAAATGTATAATAAACTAAAAACTCTAATTATAAGTTATGTGGAGCACCTAATTATATGTCTCATGACATAATACATAAATTTTATATTTACATCAATAAGACATATTTACAGAATAAGCCTCCATTCTGTTCCGTAAACATCCATCATTAGTAAGCAAGACGTACAGTGTCAATTGTGCTATCTGAGACCAAAAATAATTTTTTAGTGAATAACGTCCTAACAATAAATAATTTAACATGAATAAAGAGAAAAGTTTGAAATAACCATGTAAATTAAAGAGACAACAATTTTCATAAAAAAATGTATAAACTTCAAAATAAAAATGATTCTATAAAATTTTGAATAAAATCTTGAACCATTGAACTATCATAGTAAATGATAATATCACTTGATTTTTAAGAAGTCACAAAAATGAAATAAATACTTGTAAATAAATTACTAAATAAAAATTAATGGGATATAAAATCACCAAATGATCAGATTCATAATTATAGGGACTTATCAGAACAATTAACAAACGTGGACACATAGTCCACGAGGGTAAATAACCCAAACGTGACTTGTGCCACGAAGATAAACGTGGACACACAGTCCACGAGGATAATTAACCAAACACAGCTGACGCTACGAAACAAATGTGGACACACAATCCACGAGGGTAATGATAACCAAACGCGGCTCAAAGCCACGAAATCAAACGTGAGTACGATGCTCACGAATAACCATCCCTCCATTCCACGTTCGTTGGCCCTCGCACGAGGCTAGCACCTCCTTTAAACACCTTGCTAGCTAGGTGTACCATGGCGTGCCAAGGGCTAACGGAATTGCCGTTAGCAACCAGTGTTCTATATAAAGTCCCTTTTTAAAATCATTTCAAACATACGAGAAAATCATCACTTTCAAGATCTAATTCTCATTCTCAAAATCAAACTCGCATGAATACTTTTAAGCATTAAAATTTGCCAGAATTAAATTTCATATCTGATACTCATGCTTGCATTTATTAAATAAAAAAAATATTTTAACATCGAACTCGTATGAATTGTTTTCCGTAACAATTCAATAATTTTTAGAATGAAAATCCCATAATTAAAATCCAAACTTGTATTTACTGATAAAATAAAATTATCAAATCTGGTAAAAATAACTTCACAAAAATAAAATACTTTAATCAACAAAATATCCAATAATCACATTGTTGCTATAAAAAAGATTTGTATAAAAATGTAATATTTGAATAAAGGAGATTTTAATGAAATATTAGTTGGGACGCTATCCACTTACCTGAAGTGTGCCTGAGTACTAAAATTAACTTCTTAGAACCCAATCAAACCTTCCTTCTGCTAAATGCCCTATCTAATATAAAAAGAAAATTCAATGGCATAATCAAGTTTGATAAACTCTTTCCAACTCTTGTCAAGTGCAAGCAACAAAACTTAATTAATATTAACATTATATATATATATATAGCATAATTAATCACTTTAAATTCCAAGTTCTCCTATCACCCTTTCTATCAAGCAACTCAAAGGCATTCCCAAATTAAATTTTTAAACATTATCATTTATAATTATTATCTATACAATTTCATAGAATGCAACTTGTCTCTGCACAATTTCATACTCAAAATTCTTCATACGATTCAAATTAAATTCATGAACAATTAATATCCAAACTAAGTATGTACCCATAAGAGTTAATGAAATCTACAAAAAATCATATCCGACCACAACTCTTTCTAATATGTGTATGAGCAAACATCTTGCATGTACTACTTTTTTTTTAGCTCTCTCTCCCAAAATACCGAGCACGCTGGAACCGAAGGAGAGAAGAAGCTGAAGGTTCTGGATCTCATTTCTCTTTCCTCTGCTCTCTCTCTCTCTCTCTCTCTCTCGATATTTCTTGAATCAGATCCCCAAAAATGAAAGAAGAAACATGTGCTCTGCCTTTTATCCTTTTCTCCCTTTATTTATTTAACTTGACAGAAGGGCATTTTAGTAATTTTGCCTTAAACTAAAGGTAAAAGGTAAAATCCCACTCTTGGCCTCATAAAAATTTAAATTTAGGACCTATCAATAATGTAGTTGGCATAAAGTCTACTAAGCCACAATTTTCTCTTGATATATTTGCTCTAAAAATAATAAAAATAAACTTTAAACACCTTTTAATAATTTAATTAATTAATTTTATTTTTATTATTATTTTTTTTCTAGTCATTACAGTTCTCTTGCAAGACTATCATCAATCATTCATATTACGCATGCATAAATTCATCTACTCACTGGAGTATTGAATATTGTGATTGGAGGAATTATTGGATGAGCCATATTGTCTTTCATATTCAGATTTGTACTAGCAGAAGAGAACAAAAGCCCTTGCACACCAGACTTCTCCAACTAAACAATCTCATTTACTTTCCCAATATATATAAGTGGTTGATCTCGTGATAGTAGCACAATACCAATCAATGAAAACTTCTTAAATAACAATATCTGTTTGGAAATACATGAGTTAACATGACTAACCAACTAAATCAACACACAGTTTAAATTAACTACAGAAGTTTAGATTTATACCATCAAAAAATAAAGGCATCTACTAAAATATTTTCTTATTTCCCCTCTTTTCAAAGCATTCTAATAATCTCCAACCTGTTTCATTGACTCTTTCACTAAAAGATTGGAACAATTGTATGAATGTAATGTGCTTTTATCGCAACATATCATCATCAATAGTCATTGCATGACAATTCCCGATGCAGGAGGGCATAAAAATGTCTCAAGAGTGAAAAGTATAAACAATGGCTCAAACTTTTGATCATGCTCCCTTGAGGTGAGCATGATTTTTAAATTACTAAACCTTTCTCTATCATACTTCCTCTTAAACTTCAAATATAAGTCATTGTTACTAGTTGCTACTTCCTCAATAACTCCCCCCTCACAAGACAATCCTATTAACATTTCAATTAATATCTCATCTATTACTAACCTCACATTTCTAATGAATAATGATAAAGTTGTGGGGTCAATCACTCTAATAGTATTAGCACATAGAGTATAGTGTTATTTAGTGCATCTAACATCTAAAATTTTACCAAATCCAATTCTATCTACCCTAGTCTTTAACTATTAATTATTCCTCACAAAAACTGCCACTTTCACAAATTGTTTAAAAAGCACCTTGTTAACAATTCCACGTCTTTGCTTGAGGAGGTACATGCCCTTTCTCTTTCTTCTTTTGCAATCCTACCATACTCACTCATCTCTTTCTCAAATAAATTCTTCCATGCTTTCCTTGCATATTTGTTTGCCTTTACTATTCCCTTAAACGTCCCTTTACCTTTCTTATCTACCCAAAAATCTTGCTTAAACTTGTGCAAACTAGTCACCTTAGACTTCTCTTTCTCTGGTTCTTTCACCTTCACTATTATTAGTTTGATAAAAACTAACAAAACCTGCTACATTTAAAATAGGAGAACAAATGTCACTAAGAAATTTGAGCAGCAATGGGATTATTCCAATAAATGAGGCAAAGTTACCAAACTCAGTAACAAATTTTCGATGCAACACCCTAAGATGATCTTCGAATGCCATTGTTAATGCATTGCCACACTCGCTTGAATGCTCCTTCACTTTGCCTGCAATGACTACCATTAATGCCACTGCCTCCACCATCATTGATTAGGACGCACTGAGGAGAAGAGCTTTGTGTTGTTCATTTTCAAATGTAATAAGGGCAAAATGGTCATGATGTGGATCTCATTTAATGCCAAAGAAGGACCAACTTTTAGAAATTTACCCTAGTCCTTATCAATAAATAGATTCTTGGTGAGATTTTTTTGGGCAATTTTCCCTACTCTTAATAAAATTTATTAAATATGCAGAGTTAATGAATTAAACAATTTAGAAAGTAGGGAAAGTTAATTATTTAGTCTTCTAATTTTAACTCAAGTGTAATTTGTCCCTAAATCTTAATTCAATACAATTTTATTCTTATAATGTTAACTCGATCAAAACTTATTCCTTAAATTTCAACCTAGTAGGCTAGTATAACTTGTTCCTATAATTTTAGCTACTTAAAATATTAGTTCATAAATTTCAAGAAATAATTTAGTTTATATAATTTACTTTTTAAAATATAAGAACCAATGTTTTAAATGGTTAATTTAATAATCGATTTATACAAGTATGCTTAGGAATTGAATTTCAATCAAGTTAAAAATAAATTGAATTGTGCTAAATTAAAATTCAGCAAGATAGCATTTGGATTGATGTATTTGGATTTGAATTTTAGATTTACATTTTAAATTTTCCATCTAAAATTTATGTATTTAAAATTATTTGTTTAGTTAGTCTAAAATTTTTTCAATTTGTTAAGAATGGGAAGTGATCACTTGGGACAAGGGAGAGAAGAAATGAGCAAGAGTAGCAAAAGGACGATATATTTTAACTTAAAATCTCAAGCCTTATATATTAGTTATTAAATGCAACTTTATTCCATATGAGATTTTTCATATAATCTTTTTAGTTTTAAACATATCTTTCTTATCGCAAATAATAAAATAAGATAAATTTTAAAAGAAAGTGAAGAAATAAAAAAAATCACATTCAAAACTATTCAAGTAAATTTAGGTAAGAACTAATAGCAGGTTTTATTTTTAAAAAAATCAATTTTTATTTTTTAATAATAATTCATTTTATATTAATTTTTATTTATAAATAATTTTCTTGAATGGTGTTTGAATATTACCACTCGACTTCCGTTGGTAATGATAAACGTGGGGGAAATGTCAGTGGCACAAGAGTAATTTCGCAAAAGCGAAACTTTCTATAAATCAACAAATCCAAATAAAATACATGTATTAAGGGAATGAGAAGTTCTTCACAGCGATGCGTCGTGAGCTTCTTCATTCTTCAACGTCGAAGAAGGCAAACCAGAAAATGTGACCTGAACGTCGTCGTGTTCACATGAGGTTGAGCTCAGGTTTCTACAATATTGGCTTTGAACGTAAACATTCTCGTTTATTAAGGTAGGAGACTCAGATTATCGAACTTTTCTCGTTGATTTCATTCATTTGTGGTCAGTGATTATCAATCAAGTTTCTGGGTTATGTTTGATCAGAATCTATTTTCCTCCATGTTTCTGTGCGCTTCGATAATTTATTGATTGCTTTTTTGGTGTTTTCCGTATCAATATAATGGGTGTTTCAGAAATCTCATTTTCTGTGTCGATGAAATGATCCTGGGATGTGAAAACGAAGATTCCTACACACACCAAAGTTGATTTTTTTTAATCAAATAAACTACAGTAAAATATTTAAAAAATTATTGGAACATTGAAATTCAATTTAGGGGTGTGAAATGTACGAACTGGTGGTTCGGAGAGGATTTACGAGTGTTAAGAGAAGGCTGAAGTGAAGTGAAGCTTAATTTCATTTTATTGATAATAAAACAAGAATTCGCTATTCCGTTTCGAGTTTGGGCATATTTGAGCTGCCAGATGAGCCTGAAGTAGAAAAAAATTTTAGAAGCCTATTCTTAATTTTTTTTTTTTTACTTTATTCGACTTTTCTATCAGACTTGACCCAAATTATAAGTTCTATTAGCTAAGTTAGTACTCTTTTTTGTCCAAAATATAAATTAATCTTAGTTCAAAATAAAAGCAACTTAGTACATATAATTTTTTTTTTATTTTACCCCTTGTATTTATTAACTTACATCCTGATGTAAATTTATCTTTTACTTATTACAAAGTGCTTTAGTAATTGGCACTAAGGGTAAAATGGAAAAACAAAATGAGGACTTTATTAGTTTGTGATTTTTTTTTAAGAAAAACTGCTTCAATGTTGGATTGGAAGGAGTTTATAATAATTCAATACTAACTAAGCTAGGTGAAGTAGGTGGTTGTTGGTTTTATAAAAAGAAGGTTAATCATTTGTCCTTGTTTAACTTCTTTGTAAGTCAATTCTAAATTTTAACTCAGTGTGGCTAAATTTTTATATTTTTGATTCAATCAAAACTCAATCACTATATAACTCAATGCAACTAAATTTTTCTAGTTGTAGTGACTTAAAACGTTAGTCCCTAAGCTTTAATAAAAAATAACTTTAGCCTTTATGATTATATTTTTTAGAATTAAAATTATAAGGATTGAGTTATAATGAGTTAAAAGTTCAAGAACAAGCCTTATAGTTCCAAAAAATCCTTACAAAGACACTTATCTCCACAAACAATTTCTGCATTACAAAATAAGATTTAAACCAGCCGATCTTGTCTAAATCTCAATACTTGGACGCTTCAAATCGTTGACCTACCTTAAAAAACATTTGTTTTCATATCTAACTTGTCAATTTATGCTTGACGGTACAGTGGCATTAAATGAAGGGGGAAATTATATTTAAGGACCCCATATGAGATGCCATGATACTCGTATTAAAGTAATTGATTTTTTTTTAAATGGCGAGGCTTCTTAAAATTATAAACTCAAAATATTCTTATAACATTCATATGATCAAGTTATTATTTGGAAATGAGCTAGTAGTAACCTTGAAATTTAGCAGTGATAGCTTTAATAATTTTTATTTTAATGTCCTTAAGTTTTTCAATATTTCATGTCAGTCCTCATATCATTTCTCCAAAAACTAAGACACATTTTCTCCTGTGTATTTCATTGAGTCCAAGAAACGAGACACACTATTCATGACTTCTAAATATTACAACTTATTGAAGATTTTATATGTACTGACTTTGCCAGAGGCTATTTCGATAAACATTGGAGTTTCAAAACTACTGTTTCAAAACATGCTTTGGGCGAGGAAAATGAAAAATCAGAATATGCACTAACATTCATGTATTTCTCTACCTTCAATGCTTTTCATCCAATCAAGAAGCTCAATCTAGCAGATTTGGAACAACATTTAGTCCATAAATAATCCTTTCTTTTTCTTTAGCCTTCTTGTGAGTAATATATTCCAAACATCTTTAACCTCAAGCATGTTCTTGCCCTTTGTGCAGATCAAGACCCACATACAGGCCACACTAAAATTCACTGAGGATAGTGAAAAGAAGTGGTTAATTTACAATGCAGACATCTCAGAAACATGAGATTTTCTATGGCTCTGTGCAAACTCTGGAATCATATAACTCCTCCATTATTCAAACTCTGGAATCATCTTGCTCAACAAGTAACAGTAATCCTGGTCTAAGTTCTCCATCAGCTAATGGAAGCGCAGAATCAGAATCAGGCATGTTAAAGCCACAGTATTCACTTGAATCTTGCTTGACACTTACACCAGACCTCAATGACCTCAGCCAAAAGCTAAGAGAGTTGGAGACAGCAATGCTGGGACCTGATGCAGATATTTCAGCCACATATGATTCTGATGATACAGCCATGTATGAAGCAGAGAAGTGGAAGAAGACAATTGAGATGATATCTAGAGGGGACATGAAAGAGATGCTTTGTGCTTGTGCATATGCCATGGTGGAGAATGATATGGAGACAAGCGAATGGCTGATGTCCGAGCTGCGTGAAATGGTATCTGTTTCTGGAAATCCTCTGCAACGTTTAGGAGCATACTTGTTAGAGGCTCTTGTGGCTAGATTGTCTTCTTCAGGAAGCAAAATCTGCAAATCCTTGAAATGCAATGAACCTACTTCTTCTGAACTCCTTTCTTATATGAATACATTATATGAAATCTGCCCATACTTCAAGTTTGGCTATTTATCAGCAACTGGGGCAATTGCTGATGCCATGAAGAGGGAGAATAGGGTTCATATAATTGATTTTCAGATAAATCAAGGTATCCAATGGGTGAGTCTTATCCAAGCTCTCGCCTTCCGACCAGGAGGGCCCCCAGAGATCAGAATAACTGGAGTTGATGACTCCATTTCAGCTTTTACTAGAGGAGGAGGGCTTGAGATTGTGGGGAAAAGATTATCAGCACTTGCACAGTCATGTAATGTTCCATTTCAGTTCCATGCTGTGGAAGTTTCTTCATCTGATGTTCATCTACAACACCTTGAGCTTCTACCTGGCGAAGGCATTGCCGTGAACTTCACCATGATGCTGCACCATCTTCAAGATCAGACAATAGAGCGCTTGTTGAGATTAGTTAGTTGCTTGCGTCCCAAGGTAGTGACCCTTGTTGAGCAAGAAAGTGAAACCAATCATGTCCCCTTCTTCCCACGTTTTGTTCAGACAATGAACTACTACTTGCCTGTTTTCGAGTCAATTGATGATGTTATGCCAAGGGACAACAGGTACAGGATCAATGTGGAACAACATTGTTTGGCTCGAGAGATTGTGAACTTGATAGCATGTGAAGGGGAAGACAGAGTGGAACGACACGAGACTTTGGAAACTTGGAAATCGCGCTTCAGAATGGCAGGGTTTAGTCCATATCCATTGAGCTCATTCATTAACTTTACTATCAAGAATCTTCTGGAAGGCTATTCCAGAAACTACACTCTACAAGAGAAAGATGGCGCTCTATACCTTGGTTGGATGAATCAACCTCTTGTAGCCTCTTGTGCTTGGAGATGACTATCACATGTCAGTTCAGTCGTTTTTATTATTTCAGTCTCATAGTTCAGGCTGTTTGGTTCTTTTTATTATGTAGGTCAAGTCTCATAGCTTAGGTTGTTAAGTTATACTTCATCCTTATCTTTCAGAGTCATACTAGATTCATAGCTTCAAAGATCTTGTTTCAGCAATACAGGTAACATTAACAAGCAGTATGTTTCCAGAATTTCAGTAAGCTATATTTTCTAGATTACTCCAGAAAGATCGTAACATTAATAAGCTTAATACTTTTGAATAAATATGTATTATTTATGTCTATGAAAGGGTAACAGTAGATGATGAAATGAAATTCACTGATGTCTATGATATTTAATGCTTACATATGTTCAAAGTGATAGAGATTCAATTACAAACTTTTAAACTATAGATATGAAATTAAGTAAAATTTTACATATTAGCAAGTAATTTTAACCTGTGATAGTAATGGTCAGTTAAGCCTGCAATACATGTCAATCAAAAACTATAACAAAACAAGGAAGTATAGCGCTGGGATTTTTAAGTACAAACTTGTCCAAACTAAATTGCATTGCTCCAATCTGACCATTAAGTTCATGTATTGAAGTTCCCGCAATGGTTCTGCAAACTATTACGGCACTTTTCTCAGTCTTCGCTCTTGCAGTGGACATTCTTGAGAGTTGTGTGTCAAAGTTGAATTGAATAATTTGGCAAACACTACAAGACTGGTCATTACAAAGAATTTTAACTTTCTGCACAGATTTTTTCCCATGGAAACAACAACATTTCATTGTAGTGCCATAGAATCTCAGAAGCTCATTGCCATCAACAATGCTTCTGGGATGCCTTGGATTTTGCTCCTCACAGGCTTTTTTCTTCACCATTTCTCTGTACTTCTCGAATCTCGCAAGCATTTCTGGCGAAATGCTCACCTTGAAGACTGCTCTTGCCTTTCTCAGTGGAGTTGATGAGGTTTTCATCCAAGCTTTGTGAAATATCATCTCAACAATTTTCCTTGATGGGTCTTCTACACTGAGTTCTGTCAAAGATTCATACGGACAAGCATGGACTTAGATAACTTGCATATGGTATGAACTAGCTAGGCCAATTAGCTTAGTGTCTCTATGACATGGAATCTCACTTTGAAATAAGAGAGTTTGGCTTTTCTTCTTTATAATAGAAAAAAAACTGTAGATTTGAACCGTTAAATTATATTTGATAATTTAAATTTGATGATTTAAATTTGATAATTTTTAAAAGTATATATTTAATTTAAATGGTTTAAATTTGCAGTAGAAAGAAATCCATCCTGAAATAAAATCAAATATATTAAAAAAAACAAAATTAATCTAGATGACTAGATAAATTAGGCCGAGGCATACATGCATATTACACATAAGCACACATATACAAGACAACAAACAAAAGGAAAAGCACAATATACGATCCAATATACAGAACTCATATAAGGTTCATTATTGTATTTACAAATGAACATTGATAAAAATAAAATGGAGGAAACAAAAACAAGCACAAACATAGCAGATTGAATCTTCAAACTCGGACTTTTAAATCCCACTTTGGTCCTTTAAAGATAAGTTTAATTTATCTTCTATGATGTCATAGTTTACTCTTAATAAGTTGGGGCATATTGAGAATTTTTTTTTTTATATAAAAAAGTTTAAGTAAGTGAAATCATGAGGACTCACCAAGATCAAGATATATTTTTAAACTCAAAGAATATTTATAAAAATATTTATCGATCGCCCACCAATAAAATCTTTGCATTGATAGTGGAATATAATCTTATAATTTTGTGAATTATGAACTAAATTCTTACTAAGTGGATTAACTTTTATTAGTGGCATACAATGAATTTTGTGGATTTTGAAAGTTAAGGTGTGTTTATGGATCAAGTCTGGATGGGTATATTATGGTAGGCTGGTGTCTGGCCCAAATCTGCAACCGAGCTATTTCTTTTGTCTTTCGGCCCAAATGTTTTTTAATTTTTTTAGTTGGGTTCTATTCTTGGTTACCTGGGCCAGCCCAACCCATAATGGACGAGGCAGATCAGGTTTATCGAGTCAAGTGACTTTTTTGTCCTAAGAAACAAGTATTGGGAGGAAAAAAAAAAAAAGAAACAAGTTAGATGATATATGAATAATTTGAAAGAAATATGAAGAAATGAGTTCTAAATCTGCATTGAGTAGAATCAAATGGTTTCTTTGTTAGCTGTCCGGTAGGTGACACGGTCTAGTATCAACAAGCTGAAGCATAGTGAGAATTTTGAAGGCTTTAAACCACACACTTTCAAGTAGCTAGAAGCAATTGAACAACCAATTTACCATGAACAGACTAGTTAGATTATACAGATAGTGAGAAGTTTGAAGGCTTTAAAACTCTCCGTTTTGCTTCTTCAGAAACGAATTAATTAGCATCAACACGTATATGCATGACATGTACTTCTGACTTCTGAAATTGAAATTGTAGCATAATAGGACATGAAGAAACTAGAGATAACATAGGCATCAGTAAATTAAAACTCTATTTTTCTTCTTCAAAGATATCAACCCAACCCCTATATATATATATATATAAATGCATAAACATCGGAATTCTGATATCAGTATAAAATAAGGAACTTACCATGAAGCTTTGGTGGAATCATGCTTGTCGTAGCTGCAAGACTAGCCTGAGATAGCACTGGATATGAATGGCCATTACTATCATGGTTATCTGTGTTGTTCATATTTCTGTTTTGCTTTCCCAATTTCACAGCAGGTTGATGCTGATGATGCCTCACCACATCAGTGAGCTTACTTCCACACTTGATGTTATCCTTCAAAGAAACCCACAAGGCATTCATCTGTGTAATAGCAAGCTTAATTATACTCTTCCCAAGTCTGTGATTTTTCTATCCAACTCGTTGGAGTCTGAAATTGTTGGTAGCTTAGTTTTTCTACCCTGAAAAGGAAAGAGAGGTGAGAGAGAGGGGCAACGTGGATGCAGAATTGTCCAGTGCTGGAGAAGCCGAAGACGAAACATGAGAATTCATGAGAATTGGCTGTTTATGAACGGGACAGAGCAATTAAAGAACAACGTCGTTTCGTCAGAAAGGTTCGGACAAGAAGCCAAGACGTAAGAAAATATTTTGAAGAAAATTTGGGCAAACACAACTATTGGTTTCCATAAATTTAACGTGTCCTTCGTAAATTTTTCCCATTGTTTCAAGTGCTTCTAGTTTATCCCGTGAATAACATTAGTCCTTTTACTTTTTAATATTTTCAAAAGAATGTGTGATGTCACTAATAATATTAAATATGCTGAATTATAACTAATGCCGTTAATGTTTGTGTTGAGGAGGAACTAAAACATGAAATAGAACCTGTTGGTATTATACTAAATCATAATTTCACTCCGCACAAATTAACGACTTAGTAACAAATGAACATATTTAACACTGTTATTGCCACCTTATTGTCCTTTTGGGCATATTCAAAAGCAAAGGAATTAATGATGCAAATGAAATAAATTAGAGGGATCTGGAGTAACGGGGAAAAAACTGTGAAGACTTATACCAAAACATATTAAAATTATAAGTATCAATAATTATATTTTTCAAAAAAAAATTATTCCATTACTCTATATCACGAGAAACATGAGTTACTTGCTCAGACAAATCCAGACTCTTGACGTATAGAATGATTTTTACTAACAAATGCTTTATGGGTGCCTCGGAGATGCAGCATTTTTATTGAAGGCGACTGCGCATGTAGGATTCGAACCGAGAATCTAAGATAAGCCGAATCTACAATATCATTCAAACCAAGCGCCACCCAGTAATTTTTGAAGGAACTTCACTCGTCGTCTTTGATACCGTCATTTGTATTTATGTCTTTTTTTCTTTCTTTCTTTTTTTTCAAACAAAGAGTAAAGTAAAGTAGTGCAAAACGACATATGAATCAAATGGTACTGTAAGTGTATGTTTGAAAACGTGTTAGGGTGTGTTTCGATTAAGATTAGATAGAATTAATTATAGATAAAATTGATTTTTATGATTGATTTTGAATATAATTAACTCTATTTTGTGATATAATTGATTTATAAAATTTTTTAATGAAATTAGATGGTTGATTTTGAATATAATTAACTATATTTTGTGATATAATTAATTTGTATGATTGAAATATGAATAGCTATATTTTGTGATATAATTGATTTATAAAATTGTTGAATGAAACTGATTTTGAGTATAATTGATACTCCCTCCATTAAAAAAATATAACGCATTTTTTAAGGATTGGATTTTAAAAAATGTAAAATATTTTTAGTGTTTCAAAGTGTAATTAATGTGTTTTTCTTCAAAAGTAGCTATAATAAACAAATCACTTTATGTTTATTTTAAAGTGAAACACTCTATTAAATAAGGGTAATTATGGAACAATGGTGTTAGTTTATAGGCTTTACAAGGTGATAAGCTTTGGGTATATGCCTATAGGGTTGTAGTGTAAGGGTATAGGCTTTGGGTGCAAGGTTATAGATGTAAGGTGCAATGGTATAAGCTTAAGGTGTAGGGGTATAAGCTTAAGGTGCAAGGTAATAGGCTTTTAGTGCAATCTCACAAGTTTTGGGTGTAAGGATATAGGCTCTCGGTGCAAGGTTATAGGCTTTAGGTGCAATGTATAAGGTGATAAACTTTGGATACAAAGCTTATAGGCTTGAGGTGCAAGGTTTTAGATTGAGGGACCATCTCTAAGCGTGTCATGTTATATGACTTCATGTAATTGGTGCACGTTATCTTGAATCGTTGTCCTCTTTACATGGTACATGAGTAGGCTTATCATGTAAATGTCTAGAAAGGTTGGGTACTAACAATTATGTTCCATCTATTTGTTGATTTTTTTATGTCATTTTTGATAATTATCATGAAAGGTTAGACCCAATTAATATAATTTATCATCTTCTTGTTAGTTTTTCATGATATTCTTCATAGTTATCATGAAATTTATGTACTGACATTTATGTGCCCTCTATTTGTTAAATTTTCATGTAATTATTAATAGTTATCATGAAACATTGGGAACACTTACAATAATGTCCCCTTAATTTATGTATTTTTCATGTATATCAAGTCATATTACTTGTAAATGAAGCTCATTTAATAGTTTTTATATGGATTACAACTGAATTATTCCTGTACAACAAGTATATATTAAGGGAAAAAATGAACAACAATAATTTTAATCAAGCAACATTCATTCCCTTAGTTTTGGTCTGTCTTCCTACCAAGTACAAACAAAACTAGCTAAAAACAAAGAGCCTAGGCACCCCATTTCAAAAAACATATATAACATGGGGGTAAGAATAATATCATGCCATGTTAAATTACTTCATCCCTTATACAAAAAAAAAATGAAAGGGATAGCTATAAATACACATCAAAATACAACAAAAGTTCTATCAAAAGTTTATCTATACTGAGGAAGTAGTTGAATAGTTATACATGTTGAAGGTGAGGTCAATATAGATTTATGTTCCTGCACCTTCACTTGTTATGCCCTTCTTCATGGCACCTCGAACACCTATATGTCCTTACATGCATGAATTGAGACTCTTGTCTCTTAGTGTGGGGTTTCCCTAGACGATGTCACATGTTACAGGTCATAATGATGTGTTAGTTTGATAATCAGTGTACTCCAACTCATTCAACCTTGGCACATTATGTGTATTGATTGGAGTCATAGTTCTATAATATATCTTCTCTTACGTTGCCTTCAAATAACATTCATGAGTATGTGTATACATTATGACTCACATTTCTAATGTATGTGCATGCATGTGAGCAAAATAAGCTAGTCATATCCCATGCCTTGCAAGCACATTACCTCAACACAAGATTCACAACAACATGACCATTACCAAATATGACCTTAAACTCATAATTTGCATAACATGCATTGACTCAGATTGTCTTATGTTCTCCTTTAACTTTAATTTGATGATTGGTCCCACTCTATTAGTCTAAGATTTTACTGCCTCATAGCTAGCATACAATTTATTCGCTAGCTTCTCCAGGTGCTCATTTATAAGTGTAAATACTCGGTGTTTCCTCTTTTTCACGAGCCATGCATTATATGACTTGGCCACATTTGTCATTATATCATCCCATCTCTTGTATTTGAATCATGACAATGCCCATTTGTTAATATCTCCATGATCTTCAAGCCACCTTGCTAGCTCAGAACTATAAGCTCGCATGTTGTTCATGAATTTTTAGAAATTCTCATCAACCCTAGCTTATGCAATATTGTCTAACATTTTTAATGCATCATCCTTCTTAATTATTGAATTTCAATTCGAACCTCTATATACCTTTAAATATTCAAAACTAAAGTTCTATTTTATATGCCTATAACAATAGGCATGCCTTTAGTTCTCAAACATAATTTCAACTACATGGATAATTGAGTTGTTTCTATCAAAAACTATGACAACTTCAAGGGATCCCAAGATGTCTTTTTGGTTCCTTATAAGTCAAAGCAAGTCCTCATTCGTCTCACTCGCTACAATGGTAAACACAATATGGTACAACTCATTATTGGCAATGCGTACCAATACAAGTAACATGGTTTCCTAATAAAGTCCACCAAGGTGAGTTTCATTAATGTATATGACATGCTGACATCCTTCTAATAAACCCTTTATACAACACCTATAAGTAATGAAGACCCTATAAAACCTATGGTCAGTATCCCTTTCTTATTTTGCCACTAATTTTATGTCTGCATCTATTAATCTTTTGCATTATCAAGGAATAGGCATGTATGATTGGTTGAGTCATCCCTCTATGTTTGCCAAAGTTGTCTCTTTCCCCTTCTATACTTGATCATCATTAAATGACACACCATATTCCTTATGTAGCTCATATGATCTTAGTAGGTGACTTGTCAATATAACCCTGAAACCCTTCTCTTATAAGAGTGGATGCTAAGCTTGAACTAAATGACCTGCCTACAATCAAGTTGTCTTAAGCATAATGGTTATGCTCATTATTAAATGTTTTTGCTCTCAAGAACTTTGACTCTTTGACCTTACAGTATACATAGTGATCTTCCATGGACAACCATTAACATTACATTTTGCTATAATCTTATTAGCAGCATTTTTCTTATACTCACATGCAAAATTGTGAGTTATACTATACTAGTAGAGTGCTTCTCTAAATTCAACAGCATCTTTGAACCTTTGAGTTGGACATATTAGCAAGTCCTTCCACTTCTTGACACCAAGTTGAGGGATAGGTATACGGGCACATTGAGGTAAGAACAAGAACTCTTGTGATGTCATGATTGATGAAGATACAAAATTAATTGTGATAGTATGTGCAATCTTCCTAAGCAAGGTTCTAACCTACACTAAAATCAATTGTTATATAAGTATCATTTCGTACGCATAAAAAAGCATCTTCTAATAATTATTGTAGCTCACCCGTGTGAAATTGCCATTGATTGTGGTTGTCCGTCATCTCTGAAATCACTTGCTTCTTGTAGTATATACACATGTGCACATTTGTCATTAGACATTATTACGTATCTTACTACTTGATTCATCACCTTTTACATCTACCAAAACGCTTTTATTTAATTCTTCAATGAGCATTTCATGCTAAATCCTTCCAATTTAATACCTAAACATGAAGATATAGTGCTTCTGAGCTCATTAATTGTCATTCTTTCTCTTACCATTTTTCTAAATGCTCTCCCACTATCATATATAATCTCCTTTTAGCTATCATAATCTTGCCACCTATGTGGAAGAAGTAGTATGTTTTGTTCTCTTGCACACTCATCTTTGTACCTACAAGAATATGAAAAAGCAACAAGCAAATTGATTCTTTAAGTTGTTTGCTTTTTAAGTTTGGGTGCGGTGTCCTTTTATGATTTAGCAGTGAAAGTTCTACTAGAAAATTTTATTAGAACAACATTAGACCATGCCAAAATCACTCTCTATTGATGCTTA